TTCTAAGGAGGTTCATTTAGGCCGAGTTAGGTCATATTGTTTAGAAAAAGTAGTATCCTTCCTTGTGCGCTATTTGTTCCGCACCATTTTGTCGCTCGCTATTTTGTCTAGCTCTGTTCAATAACAAAGCTTATTTTTTCCTGACGTTATTCCCATATATGATTGTCAGAGAAGTAGTAATTTGGGAATTAATCAACGACGAACAGTCTTCAAGAAATTGATAAGAAGGGTATTCATTCGAATCAAGTTATTGTTTGAATACTAGCAAGAACTTTTGTGAAACAAAAGTTGAGGGTCGAAGACTGCGCTGATTTTTCCATTTATTGATTAGGAAAATGTCACAAGAGTGTCAGTTCAAAATGTCTTCGTTCGGCGAACTTTCTCTTCTGAGAAATCAGAAAGAGTTATAACTTGGCAACCACGCATTTCCTCACCACGGGAATCCGGTTTTTGTTTACTTCTTACCATGACGATCGTTGCCATGGCAACAGTTTCTCCATGACTGATTTCAGCTATACTAAACCCGATACAACTTGGCAACCATGCATTTCCTCACCACGGGATTTTGTTTTTTGTTTACCTGTTACCATGACAATGGTTGCCATAGCAACAAATTTTCCATAACTGATTTCAGCTAAACGAAACTTGAACCTGCAATAATACCGCAGTACAGCAGAAAGCATCAAATATAAGTGGTTACAAAAACTATTCACTTATTTCTGCTCTTGCTGTGAGTATTGGTGCAGATGGTTGGTATGTGGATTCTGGAGCTACAGCTCACATGACCAATCGAAGAAACTGGATGGAAAACTACACTGCAGATTTGGTTAGCAGAGAAGTGACCATTGCTAATAATTAAAAACTTCACAGTGCTGGAAAAGGTGACGTGGAGGTAAATTTGCCAGAAAATCCCAATACAACAATAACTGACGTTGTATTTGTACCAGGACTTTCTACAAATTTGTTATCAGTGAGTAAACTAGTCGAGAAAGGCCTGAATGTGACTTTCATCGAAGAAGGTTGCCAAATTTTCCTGCCAAACACATTCGAATGCAGAGGTGAGATATTAGCTACAGCTAGGTGTGTCAAAGGTATCTACAAGTTAAATGTTCAGCAAGAAATTGAAGGAAGAGCACATTTATCGATGTCAGAAGAATCTCAAGAATTATGGCACAGAAGATTAGGTCACCTGAACAAGTTGAGCATGAACTTACTGAAGCAAGGTATGGTTACTGGAGTTCAATATAGCAATTCAACTCTTCAACCATGTGTACCATGTATTGAGGGTAAACAAACTAGGATGCCATTTCCCAAACATGGAGGAAAAAGGGCTTCAGAAAAACTTGAACTTGTGCATTCCGATTTATGTGGACCTATGAGTGAAGCATCTCACAATGGTGCCAGATATCTTCTAATCTTCATTGACGATTTCACAAGAATAACATTCGGATATTTTATAAAATACAAGAGTGAAGTTCTGGAAAAGTTCAAGAATTTCAAAGCACTAACAGAAAACGAAACTGGCAAGAAGATTTCATCAGGAAAAATTAATAAAGTGTTAGTGAATATGGGGATGAGAAGATCCGAATCAGAGCCCTGTATATATTCACAAGTTAACCACGAATCAATTCTTGTAATTGACCTGTCCAAGAAAATCATTGTCAAAGAAAATCTAATGTCAGAATTCGACATGAAAGATCTTGGACACGCAAAACACATATTGGGAATGAAAGTACGAAGTGAACATGGACAGATATTCATCGATCAGGAGAAGTATATTCAGAACATATTAACGAAATTCAATATGACAGATTGCAGACCTGTGAGTACTCCATTAGCTGGTAAGAAATTGATGAAGCCAGAAGCAACTGAGAAAGAATGTGATCACTTGCCTTATCAGCAACTCATTGGGAGTATTATGTACATAGCAGTATGCAGCAGACCAGATATAGCATATTCTGCAAGTTTAGATCGCAAATATCATACTGGTTACATATTCAAGCTCAACGATGGAGCCATTTCTTGGGAAAGTCGAAAGCAGAAGACAGTGGCTTTATCAAGTACCGAAGCAGAATACATGGGCTTATCAGATGCAACGAAAGAAGCAATTTTTCTCAAGAATCTACTCGCTGAATTAACATGCCAAGAAATGACTACAATCATCTATAATGATAACCAGTCAGCATTGAAATTGTCTCCAAATCAAAGGTTTCACAACAGAACGAAGCACATTGACATTCGTCATCACTTCGTGAGAGAAGCTGTGGAATCGAATCAAATACAAGTGAAATATTTAGGCACAGAAGAAATGATTGCAGATATTTTCACTAAACCTCTGAGCAAACCGAAGTATGAAAAATGCTTGGAAGGTTTGGGATTGAAGAAATATGTATAATATAATGTGTGGTTTAAGGGAGAGTATTGGAAATATAATCCTCTATATATTATGATATTATTTATTTGTTATGTTGTTATTCAGATTCAGTTTTGGAAATATACATAACTACAGTTGTTTCTTATTAACATTCACAAGAACAAGAAGTTTCTTATTCCTTCAGAAGATTTCATCAATTCCGATACTCACCTATAGGTGTTTTTATATCTCCAGCATGGGTATGAAATGCCAATAAATACCGAAGTCGAAAACAAATCAGGTACGCGTCTCAACCCAAATAACCAACCATAACAATGTTGTTTATTCATGATGACGTCTAGTAAATTTTTTTCAGTTCCTAGGAACTAAAGTTCAACTTCAGTTCCTAGGAACTTGAGTACAACTTCAGCTCCTAGGAACTAAATATGTTGCCTAGCAACATACCTATTTTTGTTTCAGTAATAGAAACGTCAATTCAAGAGCTAATTCTGGTATAAAAATGGACGACTTTTGTGTCGGTTACAGAAAAAAGCCATTTTTTATGTCATCTGTAGGAGATAGTTCATGATTTCAGTAGGCATAAAAATATATACAAGATTTATTGCCGCTGCTGGCTAGGAAACCAGCCAAGGCATCACATTTGCTTTTCTGCCATGTGAAACATACCACGTGTCAACAAATCTATCAGACAAGCCTTAACTTCTGAACTATTCGCTGTATCCAAATGCAATACAATATAGGTAATGGTACCTATGTGACGAGGAAAGTTTCTGCAAATCTTTCACTTTCCGGTCACTTCCAATTTCACCGGAAGTGGCTCCGGTTTTGAATTGTTGTATGGAACACACTGTATAATATTACCTTCTCGAATTTCTTGGACGATTCTGGATCAGAATATGACATTTCCAGAAATTTCAACGCATAATCCATTTTTCGAGTCACTTTCAATTCTGTATCTGTGGCCATGATCGAACGTAAAGTTATCTGAGGACCTCAGGTGACGTCAGAAAATTATAATTGCATAGTTTTAGTGACCCGATGATGTGGTTTGATAGAAAGGAAGAGGTTGATTTGACAAAATTACATTTCTCGCGCCTCATATGGCAAAAATTTTTTGACAAACACTCCGAAAAAAGGATTTTTTGACGAATCTAACGCTGCTAATCTATTTGTGATTGGATTGAAAATGAGAACATTATTTTAATATTACGTGGGAAAATATTGGATAGTTATCTATTCACATTTGTCAAGTATGCCATGGATCGCCATGATGCATAATATTTCGCAGGCTTTTTTCGAGTCTTCTTTGAAAAACAGAACACCTAGGTAATGATAGTGATATAAGCTTCAAGACACGATATCAAGAGCAGACAGTGAAAGTGTCTTTGTTTTTTTTTAATTTCAGTTCAATTTTCACATTTTTTTTTCAATCGGCTCAAAAGTCGTTCATTTTTGTTCCATATTTAGCTCTTGACGTTTCTCTTACTGACCAAATGGAATGATTAGTATTTATCTTGTTAGGCAACACTTTTAGTGATATATCAGTTACTCTGTGTATTGGTTGAAGTTTCACAGTGAGCATTGATGGTTACTTTCTGATCAAGTCTATTGAGGACTGCTCATTCTGTCTGGTCGTCGTTTTGTTAGTATCCCAAAATAGGAAATCATCATACAACTACTCACGAAGTAAGTGAAAAGTAGTGTTGATATTGTTTTGAATCTGTACCACAGATTTGCATGTGAATAATAACGTGGAATCTTCTGCATACAAACAAGTAAATGCATTCGGAAGAATCAGAAATATTTATCATTGATGTAAAGCTTAAATCCGTATAAATATTTCCCCCTGAAATCAGAAATTGACGGGCCGAGCATTTTTTTGAAAATGACCTAGAGTGCCCAAAATCTTTTTTTCCAAGATTGCCCAACTCTTTATGTGAAATGAAATTAAGACGATGATGAAGTGTGGCCTCAATTCCTGTTGTGTCGAGATCCCTCTCCCCCAACTCACGTTCAAGTCCACCAATTTCAATTCGTTTAGTTTCTTCACTGTTATAGTCTGATGTTCACTTCACAATGGAATATCTCACTTCTGACACCAATTGTTACGTGATTTGTGTGCAGAAGCGAAAACGATACGATTTATTTTCCAACTGATTCATTATAACAAACTATATCTACTCAAGAATGTCCTACATTAGAAAATCATTCGAAATTCTTCTCTGTGAATGGATCATTCTTCACAAGAATTGGTACTTATATCAAAACCAGGAGTGTGATACTACTACTATTTTTTTGATGAAAATGTATAGTTACACAAATCCAACTCAAATTGAGAAATAACAGTATGAAAATATCAAAATAAAATGGTGAATTGAATAATGATTATCATAAAATACTACATGGTATACAAAGTCATCTCCACGACATTTAATGTCGTGGCGAGACGAGTATTTAATACTTGACGCCACTTTGAGAAACCATGCAATTCTACCAAAGATTAATAATTATCATGTATATACTATTTTTCAGTAACCTTGTAGGTAACGTTAAGTCTGCATCTTTATCCAGCCTGTAAGCGGTTTGCATTCTATTTGTGCCTCTGACTCTGCTCACTCCTGGATACTGAGTTTCCAGAAGATCCAGGCGGAATTGTCTGATGAAGTCGTAGGTTTGTAAATCGTCATCTCCGATTTTGAAGTCGGCACATGGCCCACTGAGTTCTTCTTCAGCTATATTCAGTTCTGCAATGGTTATTTTGGGAGATATCAAACTCTGTCTGAAAAAGGGTAGAATTCGTTCCACAGCATGAATCACTGCATATGAAACGAATTCTGTTTTTCTCGAATGGGGAAATGATTTTTGCATTAAACTGATATCTGCTATAATTTGGTTATCATATGAGATTCGAAAATCATATAGTTAATTCATCCCAGCAGTGTTTACACTATTCATATATCATATTTTTCATAATGTGGTAGTTTTCTTTTTTCAAAATTTCAGTTTTTGACCTTTTGGCTTGGCTCGAGTCAACTGCTCTGGTCTCTTCACTTTGAACTATGCTGTCCCATTTTCGATGTTCCTACAGGGTATCTCTCTCATTTTCAGACATAGAGATTTTCAGTTTTCGCGAACGTTAGTTTTTTGTGGACCTCTCGATACCGCGATACAGGGCGAAATTGAAAATATTGAATTTTGGGTTCCCACTCCTGTATCTCAGCTATATTTCGACTCATAGAAAAAGAAGGAACTGGATCCTATACATTTTTCGACGTAGAATCGAGTGGAGTAGTCATATTTTTGAAATGACCTGTTACTATCTAGACATAACCCGACGTTATGTTTTTTTTTTAAATAATACATCTCATATCATTTTTTATATTTGAAACATCGATGTTTTGGGCTTTTCAGAAATACACAACATCTTTACGATATTCTGATTATTAGCCTTGTATGTAGATAATTTCTAGTTTTTGAGTAGATTTTCCATTGATGGACCTTGTATTCACTTTGTTGCTGACATAGTGTTTTGGCACAGACTATATAGTTTCAATTTTACCAACATTCAAACTGTTACAAGTTTTCAGCAATATTTTTCAACTATAAGTGAACCTAATTAGTAGGTGGCTATGAAAAAAAGTCAACGCTGAATGTTTTATAATCCTTCTCACCTCAGGTTCACAGCTTTTATTGTAGATAAATAGTACCAAATATTGATGGATAAATGTTGAATGATGGTGGAATTGAAACTAGAATGTGACGAAATACTGCTCAGTAACGAGGTAAATAATATGAGAATTTGTGATACGGAGAATGTTGGCAAGTGTCACCAGAGACAAAACTACTATAATACTGTAAATTGTTTGAATACATGGTTAATACACAAGAAAACATAACTTTGGGTCATTTCTAATCAATAACAGATCATCTTGAAAATCTTACGACGCCACTGATGGAATCTGGATAAAATAATGTGAGAAACAGATCTCACTGTTTCTATAAATTGAAAGCTAGCTGAAATATATCTCAAAAACGAAACGTTCTATGAAAATGTCTTGCGGTATCCTGAGTTTCAGAAGAGAGTATTGCCAACGTTCGCAAAAACCGTGAATCTCTATCTTTCAAAAACGGCAGATATTCTGTAAGGACATCAACAATGAATAGTAGTACTTCTACTAAATATTGTTCGCGGATTTTTGAATTTCTACTACGGAGTTGGAAGCCAATTAATCAGTGTTTAGAAAAGCTAATACTTGAAATTTCACTGAAAATATCACTCAAGGTTTGATTCTTGGTAGAAGATTCTGATCACCCTCATCTCTCAGGTTCTTGTTCGACTCAATGTAATTCATGACTGGAATCGATCTAGCTAATTGATACGTTGCTGCAAACTCATGAGTTTTATCGATCTGTCCTTACGTTGACATAAATATATATAGAATCCTGATTTCCTAGACCACATCATTCATCCACTCTGTATTATCTGTTCGAGATTACATATGTATGAACTCCTTTCAAATTTTCTACATTTCGCATCTTTTTAATATATGTATATCTATTTATAGAACCTCAATAAACTAAAGATCATTTATTTATAGGTGAACATACCACATTATCCGCTTGTAAAAACTTTCAATTGAAGTGCAATTTCTAATCCATATAATCCATTATTAAACTTACGTGATGTGACTGGGCCAAATATATGTAGATACATCAATAATCCTATCGAACTCTGCCATCTGCAATAAGAATATCATGAAAAGGGACGAATCTATCAAAGCATTGGGTTATATCGTACAAAGAACAGTTCATAAAACGATCAGTTCTGCAAACATTGGATCATTCTAAATCGGATTTTGGTGGGCAGTAAGTATACCAAAAGTTTAAGACTTGGAGGTGATAAACTAGTCCTCCTCTTGGAGAGAATCTCGATCAACATCAGTAAGTTCATCTCATACGTACTTATCCAGTTTCATGTGACCAATATTCCATTCGAATCAAAATGAGCGCGGTCAGAAGTTATCTACCGAAAACTCCATATTTAAGTTTCCGTCGAGCGCAACATTCTCAGAATTATGATTGAAACTCCCATAGTTATTTTCATCTGTACTTCTGGATTGTGAGTGATGGCCCTGCTCTCATGGAAAACCTGATTATCTTGAAGTACTATTTTACAAAAAATGCTAGTGCAATTTGTCTTTCCATCAGCAAACGACCTCTCTTAAACTAGGTGTATGATGGCACATAATGCATTATTTTATGGCTGAGATATTGTTATTATCTATGAGTTATTGTTCGAATTATGAGAAGAGCAATTCTAATGATCATATTGAAAAATCACAAGGAAATATTCAGTAGTAATACTATAAGTATTTCAAAATATCCGGGTTATACATCTATAACTTGTTGAATAATTATTGTTACAGAGAGTGTCAGTCCAACAGTTGAAATAATCCGACCGCGAAACGGGAGGATTATTCTGTTGAACTGACACGATTTGTAATCATTGTGCAGGAAGTTTGAGATGCGATTATTTTTTCAGTAGTGAACGAACGTCAAAATTTTGTAATTGAAATAACGCCAGCCATTTCCATTTTGCACTAAGAAGAAAATTTCAGTTCTGAAGTGTTTCTTTCCTTCTGCTCTTTCTGGAAGCGCCTCAGTGCGTACAAATATGCCGATTGGATTTTTGTCGGGTCAGGTTTCGCTTGGTTGGCGGTTGTAGGACTGCTAACTGGTGATTACCCTATACTGATGAGGTACAAAATCCAAAAACCGGTCTGTAGGTGTCAAGTTGATCAAAAATATTCCATGCAAAAACAATATCAACAAAGATATCATCAAATACGAACATTATCTTCTGGAAGGCAAGCAGAGGTACCTACTGTGCATGAAAAAATATATGTTGTTTATGCAATGCTACCTATATTTGCTCGAGTTTGATACTCTCAATTCCATTGGGAATATGAAACTCACCAGGGCAGTAATGAAACGTAAGCTACCGTTCGCATTTGATTGATATGCAAGTCGAATATACAGCGTTGGAATGCACAGATTCAATAACAGATTCAATAGATTTAATAGGAATATCGACGCCAAAGGATGCAGCTGAAGCCAATTTGTTGTACCTTCCATGGAAATCAATATTTGTTTTCACCCGTGGGACTAAATTGACCACCTTTTTTTCCTTAAATGAGGAAGCAAACTCCTACTGTCGTTTCAGTGAATAGATAAACAACCATTAAGAGTAATCTAATTGCATCAGAAATCAATTCTGAGACCTTGGGGTTCTGTGATGCAATAATATCTGAAACGAATTCAACGACAACATTGTCCAGTATCGAATTTACTAAAGATATCCTTTCAAGGGAGATTGTGGAACTCATAGCCAATGAGAAGAGACTCAGAAAACTCTGGCAGTGGTTGAAGACTGCCCAAGCGAGGGCTGACTTCAATAGTGCAGTCCAACTGATAGAGACAAAAATCAGAGAGTTTAGGAATGTTATCTGGAGGGCCAAGGTGAACACCTTGAATCTCCGCGATAGCTCTCTTCGGAAGATGACCAAGAGGATGTAGAGAAAATTCACCCTCATCCCTTTCCTAGAGTGTGATCGTGGGAGCCGGTGTCAGATCCTGAGAAAGTGGTGATGCTATTAACAAAATCGATAAAAATCCTGCGAGGGAGGTACAGTGGGACATGGCAGCCAAACCAACCCGAATCAGGGCTCAGCCTGCGGTGCATTTGTCTCCTCAGAGTTACAAAATGTCGACCAGGAAGCTACCGCCCTACATCGCTGCTCAGCGTAGTAGCCAAGGTAGTGGATAAGATTCTACTCAGATTGATTTAGGTCTTGGTCGTAGATTGGAACTGCTCAGCATAGTAGATTTCATATAGTGTATAAAGTCTTTCTCAAGTTGAGTGAGGTCCAGGTCGACGACTCGAACCTGATCCATGATGAATAATTAGGGTTTAGCAAGGAACTTAGCACCACGTCCCAACTTGCCGGAATTGTTCAAAAGGTAAAAGAAGTCTTCAATCAGGACAGAAAAACCATCATGGTTATGATGGATGTCAAAAATGCTTTCGACACCGTCTGTTACGAGGGTTCGATTTCAAAGTTATCTGAGGCTAGAGTGCCTATTCATATCATTGAGATAATTGACTCATCTCGAAAAACGTGAAATCAGAGTCAAGGTGGATGACGCTGTTTCTGGGGATTTTCCACCCGAGGCGGGTTTTTCACAGGGGTCTTATCTATCTTCTCTCCTATACTCAATAAACACGCATGATTTTCCTCTGCTCGAGAGGACGAGTGGAGCTTTATATGCTGATGATAAGGAATTATATGCACACTCTTTCGACTCGGACATCGCCAGGATACAGATTCATCTGGACAGGGGAGGCATCCCGTATTTTGAAGAGTCAAAGATCGGAGTTAACAACAATAAGACCAAAGTGTTATCAACTTCAGTGGAAATTTCAAGAGTTATGTGACTGTAAAAGCTGCGGATGTCATGGACTCTACTGTTGTGAAGAAGCTCGGAGTAAAGCTGAACAGAGGGTTATCATTCAGGAAGAATTCAATTTCCTTACCCAAAAAAACTCAAGCCGCGATCAGGGGCTCGTATTTTCTGTTGAAGAAATATACATGACTGACATTGAATAACAAGCTCCTGATTAATCAACAGATATTAAAGCCTGTAATGACATATGCCTGTCCGGTGTTTCGTAGTATCTCGCAAACCCAAATGGGTCGGCTACAGATACTGCAGAACAAA